GTAAGTATCTTTGATCGAGTTTAATAAATAACAAATACACTATAATAGATTATTCAGAAGCTATTTAGAATGTAACTGTTACAATATTTAATATTGAGTCATTAAAAAACGTTATGATGCCTCATGTTAGACATTATTCGTTATATTGTTGAAATATTTTGTTTTACACATTGTAGGGGTTGTAGCCTTGAACATTGTTTACGCGCCGCGTCTAGCGCGAGTAGCGCGCGCCATGTTTACGAATTCTCTGCGTGCTATCATTCTCTAACCGCTATTCGTACGGGTAGGTAGTAGTGCGCGTCGCTCCGCGTTTTTTTCGCATTTTTTTCAAGCTGAGTGATATCACGATGTTGCTGTATTATACGAATGTAATACTAAATGCTAATTCATCGCGTCGTGTGTTTGTTTCGGGAGGATTATAAGTGATCGGATTGGATCGACAGAAGTTAACATTTTCACGGACAATGAAGCGCCCTAAAATAACGCGCGAAAGCATTTAAAATTAATCCATGTGCGATTATAATTATTCGCGAGTGTTTTCGCGAGTATTCTGTGCTGCGAGAAGACGTTTAAAATTAGTCCACATGCGATTATAATTATTCGCGAGTGTTTTTCGCGAGTGTCCTGTGCTACGAGAAGATCTGACGACCTAACATTCTGAGAGGAGGAGAAGGCTTGGGAGAAGCGTCGGGCATCGGCGGAGCAACCTTTCGGTAAATATACATTTTTCGTCGACAAAGTTAAAATTAATTAATTTTATATTTATTTGGATAGAGATAGTGATAATTTAAGATTTGTATAATTCGGGAAAAAGAGAAACGATTTACAATTTTATATGAATTTATTTTATAAAGATCTTTTTTGGAAACTATAAATTATATACTTTAATAAATATATAATTGAAAAATAAATAGATTTGATACGCGTAAGAATTATTTTTTAAAATACCTATCATTTAGAGCATTGCTATAATTTGAATGTTTTATTTGTGTGTTACAGAATCATCGTAGCTACGTGGCAGTTTCACTCCGCTGTTGCGCATCGGATCGGTGAGTGATGAAGTTTTTATATTGGGGTAACAAATCTGTGAAATTTGTCTTAGATTATTTTTATATATTCACTATAAAAATATTGCAGTTGGATATGTCTTTACAGATTCGTTGTCCTAAAATGAATAGATATAGACAATTTAGAGTGTATATTTAATCCTGGAATGATTCATTTGTTGATTTATTGTATTGTAATAATGCGCTTGTGCAGACATATAGAACTCATATTCATTGTGTTGATTTATCTTTCTTTGCATTTTAATTGCGAGATATTAGTTGTACAAAAGTTATAGGATAGTCTCGCAAAAAAATGTAAATAATTTAAACTTTTCAGAAATTTTTAAGAAATTAGATATGTATTTATATATATAATAATATAATAATTTAAAAATAATAGAATTTAATTTATTAGATATTCCTTTGGAAGTATATTAAGCCTTTTTAAATTGATTATATTTTCAAATTTTTTACATAAATACTTAGTAATAAAATCGCGTAAAAGAAAGTTCTATTAAAATAATAGTATTTTTCAATAAGTTTTCATTGAAATTTTTTTATGATATTTATTTCTCAGTAAATACAACAAACAAAGATTATAGAAAGATATTTATATTTATATCTAATAATAATATACGTTTATATTATGTGTATTTTTTTACCTATCTATATCCTCTTCCTCTGTTTTATCAGGATTAAATATCTAAATCGGTGTAAATAAGATACATATAGTGTATACATAGAATGTATATATGTATTCAAAAATTCTTAAGTTATGTGTATCAAATAAATGGATGAATAATGAAAAATAATAATCAGTTATGTAACAAATATGCCGATTTGACTCCAATCATGTTTAATCTATTCATGTATATATAATTGTTAATAGAAATCCATTCTTCAGTAGTTATATAATATTAATAAAATAAGATATTTATACTAATTATAAGACAATATTACATAAGATTTCATAGATTTGTTTCCTTACGTTGAGTCAGTAGAGGGAAATTGTATTTAAAACAAAGTACATATATTCTAAATTTTTAATTATTTATTAACTTGAATACAGAATTTTTACTCATAAAAACAAAATACTAGGAGAATTTGATGTTACATTACATTTCTCATATACCTCTTCAGTGGCGATTGCGTACAGATTGCTTAACATAGCCGAGGTAGTGAGCACCTTTTTGTGCTACAATGTGAATAAATGACTTAAATACTATCGGTGAGTAAGGACATTTTGCTTTAAGTGTTGTACATGAAATTAATTTCAAAATCTGTTTAAAGAACAATACGCTATGAATTTGCATAATTTTTTAAATAAAAAAAGACTTATATTATATAATATAATTAATAATTAATGCAGGATTGACATCATAAATCCTCCTTTGCGGTAACGTTTGTATTATTATGATATGATTAAATATTTTTCCTTATCTCAGTTATAAGCTCGATTTTTTTAAAAGTCACATACAATTTTATCGGGTAGGATATAAAATAATTTCGGGATTCCAATTGAAATATTTTCTGAATTTTATAAAGTCAAAAGCTTATATATTTTTAAGAATATAGGAAAATATTTACCAATATTTATGTTAATAGAACCCACAAGAGGAGGATTAAATGCTTCAATTTTGCAATAAAATCTGCGTTAAGATTTACAATAGTATTAATATTGAAACTTATTACCTATCACTTATATTTTTTCATTATTAAACTGAAGGATATCTGTAAATCGGTATACATATTTGTATCGTTATATTTAATCCTTCGATACCTGTAAAAAATAATCTCACTTCTTAAACATATCCTTAGAGTATGTATATGTATTTATATATATATATATATATATATATATATATATATATATATATATATATATATACAATCTGTGTGCTGATCTTATGTTTGTCATTATTTTTTGGTACAATGACATTATTAGAGATATTTTTTACAACTAATCTGCGCAATGTTGCGCTGATATTTCCATATCCATAATAAAGTATTTAGTCAGAAAAATGAATTGTTATGCAAACATAGTCAACTCTATTATGAATTACATATGAATCGGACCTGTAATAAAAATAATTTTTGTAGAAATTGTTCGTATTAAAGGATATAATTTATAATAAATAGAAAGAAACTAAGAAACGTTCTGTTTTAAATATAAATGTATCTTTGTATATACTCATCAATATATTAAACTAATTGCTAGGATTTGGATTTTATATTATATGAACTGTCGTAAACTTGTTGCATTATTATTCGTGTTTTTAAAACTGTATGTACAAAAAACTTATCCTCTACGTCATGTACATTCACGATATTCATCCAGATTCATATAGTCGACAATCTTTGATAAATTGATTCAGACATACTTTTACATCGCTTCGGTTTCCACATTTGTTCATATTTGTTTAATGAGTTATGTGCGTATGTTCACACGAACTTTCTTATACACATCATTATCACGGAATGTTACGAATTTATTAACAATGTTGTTAATAATATCG